CCCGGGACACAGCGGCCCCGGCTGCAGGCGGCGGCTCGGCCGCGCGAGTGGGGCTTCGCCCTCCGGCCGGCCGGAGGCGTTTCCGAGGCGCCCCTCCTCCCCCTGGCGGCCGGGTTTCCGTCGAGGTCGGAGCTGCACGGCCGGAGGAGGGCAGAGTAGAGGCGCCAGGCCGCCCCCCAGCTGTAGTAGCTCCCGCCGCCGAGCGTCGGGCCCTCGCCGCAGCCGCGACACCGACGCCGCGGAGCTCGCGGCCCGGAAGGGGGCTGCGGGGGCGCTGCTAGAACGCTCAAGGGGCTCCCGGACCGGCCCCGCCCCCGACGCGGCGCCACCCGTCGCCCAGGGCGACTGACCCCCCCGCCCGCGGAGCTCGCGGCCCGGAAGCACAGGGGCGCGGGAACCCGGTTGGCCCTAGTTCCTCCGCGTGTCACACAGCCCGTCCTTCCCGGGCAGTCCGCGCCGCAGGATGTAGCGGCGGCCGCGCAGGCTGCTGGGAGACGAGCGGAGCGCGCGGCGCTCGGAGCGCGGGAGTGTTGTTCGCCGTGCGGGGCGGCTTCGGACCCGCGAGCGCAGAGCGCAGCTTCTGGAGAAGTGCGAGGGGCTGTGGTCGCCCTGCACAGTACGAGGTGCGCTCGCCTGAGGCCTGAGCGCCGATGAGTGCCGCCGTGCGCAGGGCCGCCGGGCATGGAGTCCACTGCGGCCCGCGCGCTCCCGCCTTAACGCCGCCGGTGGCCAGGAATCGGGCTGGGCGGCTTCCCAACGCCGTGGAGCCGGCGGCGCCGAGCGCCCTCCCAGGCCTCCCGCTGGGCCGCGCCGCGGAGCCCCGTGCAGAGCGTCGGGAAGCCTCGTTATTTTATCGCTGTTTCTTTGGAGGCCGCGCTGCAGCTGCGTGATGAGCCTGTGGTACAACATTAACTGTCGTCGCTTCCAACCCGGGCCCAGCTCAACGTCCTGCCCAGCCTACCCCCGTCTAATTAGTTCGCCACTCAGCCCCCTGCTCAACAGCAAGGGCGACCAATCGAAAGACCCTTCACTCATGCCGGCCCCGAGCGCCACAGGCGTGACTTAACTGCCGGCGTCAGGAACCGAACTCGTGCTCCGATTGTCTTCTGGAGTACTTCGACACGCGTCTGCGCAGGCGTAGTCCGGCCCAGCGCCTGGGTGGATGGGAGGGGGAGAACCGGAAGTCCGTGTGTTGCCGTGTGGGAATTGTAGTTCTGTTCCCGCTTGCGCAGTCACGGCTGGGCGGGTTGTAGCCTAAATCCTACCATCTAGCGAGAAACGCGGAAAAGAGTCTGAGCCTGTCGGGTCACAGAGGCCTCACCCAGATTACAAGCCTTGTTGCCACCACGGTGGGAGGGCCCAGGCGGCGTCGGCGGAGCGCGCGAGCGGCCGGAGGTGTGCGCGCAGGCCTCTGGGAGTTGTAGTGCAGTGCACGCAGCGCAGTCCCGGCGCTTGGTGGGACAGCCTTTGTTTCGCGGTTAGGCTGGTAAGTAAAGTGGGGTCGGCCGGGGAGAAGAAGGCTCATTTGTGCGGGTACCAAGGTTCTTCCTCAGGCCCCCACCGGGTCGGTTTTGGGTGCCCAGCCGCGCACTCCGTTCAGTCTCTTGCTTTTTCAGGCTGGGTGGGATGTGTCACCTGCAGGGTGGGGAGGACGAGGGCTGGGGCCCGATGATCTAGGGTCCAGAGGTCCGGGACGAGGCGACGGCCAGGCTCTGGGGAGAGTGGGGTTCCCCGGCCTGGAGCACAGGCCTGACCCTTCAATGGCTGGAGCCCACTTGACCTGCATCCCGTGCGTTGGTGGGATGTCCAGCGTTGAGGGGATGATACAGGCTGAGACCTCATCATGGAGTCATCTCTCAAGCCTGCACTCAGGAGTCCCTTCTGTCTCTGACACCTGTGTCCCACTGAGGTTGGGCAGGGAGACATCAGAAACCCAAAATACATAATTAAAGAGACAAATCCTGTCTTGGAAACTGCAGCGAAGATGGTGACCAGGCAGGAGCAGGACGAGGCAAAATTGTTAGTGCTGGGCCAAAGAGGAGGAGGGAAGCACACCTTCCCTCTGGACTGAAAGGCCTTTTGGGGACTCGCTGGCTCCTATGCGTGGTAGACAGTAAGCAGATGGTCACCAAAGGACAAGACTTCCACCAGTTGCCACAACACATGTTCACTGCAGCTGGCTTCTATTTTCTACTTTTTCCCTACTTTTGTTCCTGTAATTCCTTCCAAGACCACCCAGGATAGGTGCCGGGTCCCACCCCCATTTTACAAGGGTCACAAAATGATGCCTGGGAGCCCCAGAGCCATCTGGCTTCCTGTCAGTAAGAGAATCACCCTGGAAATGAATCACCGGTACAGCTAGAGGATGTACCCACCCAGGCGTTCAGTTTCCTGGTCTATGGAGTAGGGTGGGGAGATTCAAGATCACCCTCAACAGCACCTAAAATATACCAGGCACATAGCATGCACTCAGGAAGTGCCCCGCCAAGTTTCCACTTACATCCGGTTTGTCCTGGATGTGGGCTCCACGGTCCCACAGCCAAGTTCCTTTCTTCCACACTGAGGTCCCAGGTTTAGGGTCTCTGGTTACTGTAGGGACCAGCCTGGCCTCACAGCACCTTTCCCCCCAGAACTGGTGCAGGCTGTTCCCACAAGAGGCCAGGAAATGACCACTGGGCTCCTGACTACCAGGGCCCCAGTAAGTATGCCACCATCCTCACCTGCCCAGACTTGGGGTCGCTCATGGCTCATTCTGGCCCAGACCTTTGTCCTCACTGACCCCCATCCAGGAGCACTCATTAACCACCTCCATCTCCAACCGTATCACCTATACACCTATCACCATGGCTGTAACCGCTTACCTGCAGCAGGGGAGTTTATCGAACATAAATTTACTGGCCCCCAGTTCCAGAGGTAGGAAACCCAAGGTGCTGGCTGGTTTGGCAACTCTTGATTCCAAGATAGCACCTTGAATGAGATGATTTCTGTAGGGGAAGGAGGCTGAACCTGCCCTTTCACGATGGCATTTATCCCACCAATGAACCTGCCAGAAGAAACCAGCCTCTGCAGAAGTGCTAGAAAACATATGGAGGTATAACAATGAGGGGAAGTACCCCATGACTACCCCATGCTTTCTCTCAGGTATGTTTTGGGTTTTTTTTGGTTTTTTGTTTTTTTTTTCCGGTATCAGGAATTGAACTCACGACCACGCACTTGCCAGGCAGGCGCTGTGCCCCTGAGCTAAATCCCCAGCCCTGAAGATTGTGTTATTACCCCAATATTTAAGTGTCCAGAATTAAGGCCCAGGAGACAGGAGTCCCCTGGGACCCACTGGTAGGGGATTTCCCCAGATCTTCCCAGTGAGAATGTAGTATGGTTGACACCTTGGTCTTCATCCTGAGACCTGAGCAGAGAACTCAGCCTCACTGTGTTGGAGTTCTGACGTATGAACTAAAAGGCAGTGGAAGAGAATCAGTCTGGAGCAGTTCATTATCATCAGTAGATAACTAAAAACAGGTAGAGCAGTGGGTCTGGGTATTGAGTCCTGGTTAGTTAGCATCTCCATCTCATTTAGAGATGAGAGGTTTTTTTTAATTTTTCATTTTTCCCCAAGGGCTTCATTAATGATATGTGTACAGGTTGAACATGCTTAATCTGAAAATCCAAAGTCAGAAAGTTTTAGATTTTGGAGCATGTTGTATTTTCTGATCATGATGCCCAATCTGTAAAGTCTACACAAATATTCCAGACTCTGAAATCAGAAACACTTCTGGTCCCCAGCATTTCAAACAACAATGTGCAGATGTAATTTTGGCTTGCAGGGATAGACAGGCGTCCGGCTGGGTAGTTCTGCAGGTGTTCCTCTCCCAGCCACCCAGACCCTCCAGGGAGCACACTTCCTGGTGAACCTAACATGCCCATGATGCTCTGTGCTTTGTTGTTGATGCCCCAGTACCATTTCTTATTTCAAGACACTTCTCTAAACTGTTGGCCTATGCCTGAAAGACAGGGTATAACCTATTACCTCCTAAGCTACTGCCCCCACATACATACTCCAGAAGGTCCCCAGGTGCTGTAGGAAAACCTGATCTGACCCCAAAACCCCACTGGGCTCAGCTGAGAACCCTTGCATGTCTCAGGAGCAAGTGACCTTTTGGGATGTGGCTACTGACTTCACCCAGAAGGAGGGACAGTTGGAGCCTGCGCAGAGGACTCTATCATGATGTAATGCTGGAGACCTTCAGGCTCCTGTTGTCTGTGTGTAAGGCCACACCCATGTCCCTGATGGTCTTCCTACAGCATGGGTTCAAATTCTTCTGAGTTAAAGATGGAGGTAGGACTCAAAAAGAAAATATTTGTCTTAGGCTTCAGGAGGACACTGTAGAAAGGAAACATTAAATACGATCCATGTTACCAAATACCAAACCCAGAAGAAAAGGAACACAGCATGAGGGAGACATACTGAGCCCTGTTTGTAGAACCCCCAAATAGACCAGAGTGTTCTCCAGAACTACCCCCATTCTTTGCCTTTTTTCTGTATAGCTCTGTTGTAATCTGTTCAGTCTGTTGTAACAGAGGATCTTAGGCTGGTTAATCTATAAGCAACAGAAATGTGTTACTCGGGCATCCCAGGTCCTGACAGACAACAGGCTATTCCCCATGTTCAAACAGTGGCCCATCACCAGGTCCAGAAGAGATGACCAGTGTGGAAGAGAGCCACAGCAGAGTCCCCTGCCATAGTAACAAACAACTCTCACCCACTATGTTAGCTTCGTGTTGCTGCTGTAACATTTTCACAAAACTTCTGGCTTATAGCAGAGTACTTTGTGAACACCAGAAAATGGGTCTTCCTAGCTGTGATCAGTGTCTAAACGACAGGTTTCCTTCAGGAGGCTGCAGGGAAGAATCCACTGTTATGCATTTTCCAGCTTCAAGAGGCTGCCCACATTCATTGGCTTTTGGCATTGCCCTGACTGACATCCTCCCTTTCTCTCCACATCTAAGGAGCCTGGTGACTTGGCCAACTGGGTGATCCAGAACAGTCTATCATCATGTCAGATGATTAGCAACCAGAATTGCTTCTTGCCATGTGTTAATCGCATATGTACTCTGGGGTCACAACATGGACATCCTTACAAGTCATTACTCAGCTACCCACACCAGCTTGGCCTTGTTTCTTTCAGACTTGGAAACCAGACAAGACACCAAACTGTCAGCCCTAAAGCAAGGCATCTCTGAAGACCTGTCCCACAGATTTCTTCACAAAGATTTCTCTGGGGTGGCCTGTGGCCCAGGGTTGACACAGAGGGCACCTGGGAGTGGTGGCATGGATGCCTTATAAGCCCCAGTGTGCAGGTGGTCTTTGTGCCAGTAAAGATACTCACACAGGAGTAGCAGGGGAATGGGCTTGGGGACAACCTGAGATTGAGCCCCAACCTCCCAGCTCAACCAATGACTCCTGAGAGGCACAGCCCACATGTGTGGGAGACATATGGAAAAAGAGAGAAGCTAGACTCCAAGGTAAGTGCTCAACAGAAAGCCTACACAAAGGAGAAATTGTATGAATGCCAGGAGTGTGAAAAGGCCTTCAGCCACAGCTCAGCACTCATTGAGCACCATCGAACGCACACAGGAGAGAGACCTTGTAAGTGTCCCCTGTGTGGTAAAGGCTTCCAAAACAGCTCAGCACTTAGCAAACACCAGAGGATCCACACCAGGGAGAAGCCGTACAGGTGTACTCAGTGTGGCAGGACCTTCAACCAGATTGCCCCTCTGGTCCAGCACCAGAGGGTACACACAGGCGAGAAGCCTTACGCATGTGGGGAGTGCGGCAAGGCCTTCAGCTTCAGGTCCTCCTTCAGCCAGCATGAGCGTACTCACACAGGTGAGAAGCCTTATGCGTGCCAGGACTGTGGCAAGGCCTTCCGGCAAAGCATCCACCTCACCCAGCACCTGCGCACACACACTGGAGAGCGGCCCTACCACTGCAGGGACTGTGGCAAGGCCTTCAGCCACAGCTCATCCCTCACCAAGCACCAGCGCATCCACACAGGTGAAAAACCCTATGCGTGCCTCGAGTGTGGCAAGGCCTTCACCCAGATTACACCACTCATCCAGCACCAGAGGACGCACACTGGGGAGAAGCCCTATGAGTGCAGTGAGTGTGGCAAGGCCTTCAGCCAGAGCACGCTGCTGACTGAGCACCAGAGGATCCACACAGGAGAGAAGCCTTACAGGTGTCGTGAATGTGGAAAGACCTTCAGCCACAGCTCCTCACTGAGCCAGCATGAGCGCACACACACGGGTGAGAAACCCTACGAGTGCCAGGACTGTGGCAAAGCCTTCAGGCAGAGCACCCACCTCACCCAGCACCAGAGGACACACACTGGAGAGAAACCATATGAGTGCAGCGAGTGTGGCAAGGCCTTCGGCCACAGCTCGTCCCTTACCAAGCACCAACGCATCCATACAGGTGAGAAGCCCTATGCATGCCATGAGTGTGGCAGGGCCTTCAGCCAGCTGGCACCTCTTGTCCAGCACCAGAGAACACACACTGGGGAGAAGCCCTACCAGTGCACTGAGTGCGGCAGGGCCTTCAGCCAAAGCTCCCTCCTCATAGAGCACCAGAGGATCCACACCAAGGAGAAGCCCTATGGGTGCCATGAGTGTGGGAGATCCTTCAGCCACAGCTCCTCACTGAGCCAGCATGAGCGCACACACACAGGTGAGAAGCCTTATGAGTGCCAAGACTGTGGCAAGGCCTTCCGGCAGAGCACCCACCTCACCCAGCACCGGAGGATCCACACTGGGGAGAAACCATATAAATGCAGGGACTGCGGCAAGGCCTTCAGCCACAGCTCATCCCTCACCAAGCACCAGAGGACTCACAGCGGGTAGGCCCACTCACCTGTGCTGGAGATATGCGGACCCTATAAGCCATAGTTCATTGTAGTAGCCTTCTCTCTGTCCCACTCACACATACACATGCACACTTGTCAGCCTGTCACACACCCTCAGAGTCCACACTGACTGAAAGAGTCTATACAGCAGGCAAGTGTGGAGATAACACAGAGGAACTTCAACTTGGAGTGCCCATCAATGTTACATTATAGAACCTAGAAACAGGAAAGTACACATGCAGAGTGGTGATGGCTTCTGTCCAGCCTTTACCATATTCTAAACCAGAGGTGTTCAAAGTGGTGAGAATATACCAAATGCTTTTCACATTAAAAAATGATGTTAGAATTTGCTAGCAGTGCACATTGTCTTCTCCAGGGTGAGAGGTGCTTAAAAATGGTTCACATTTACTAAAAAACATGGCAGAGCATATTGTTCCAGAGTGCTCCAGAAATGAGAGTGCATCTGCATGAACTCACTATGGATGCTTGACTTATCTCAGCACAAACCTGGTTTGTGTGTGAACTGTCCCATCAGGGTATGTGGCAGCCGGTCCCAGAGATCTGAACTTCATGTGACACAGTACCAATGCACTATATGTAAATGTAAATTTGTTGTCTCTTGATCATTTTGCAGTAAGTTAAAATGTCTATGCACAGTGGTTGAAAAGCTTTCTATGGGAAGACTACAAACATAAAATGACTTCATGGAATCTCAGATTGTATGGCAGCTTTTGCCACATTGTTCTGTGAATTTCACAGAACTCATAGGCATTAGATGCAGATGCTTCTGTATAAAAAGGGGGAAATAGTTAAGCTATCATCTCAGCAGGAAAATTCTATATTTTACAAGATTTCTGCCTTTTGGAAACTGTACAAGTTAATCCTCTCCTAAATTGGTTTTTCATTGATTCTTCATCCCCGTGTAAGCTTTTGTTTTTATAACTTTCAAGTTCACAGTACTTCATTGAACCCTGAATCTCCAAATAGCAGCCTCCTTGCATAGGTAGTGCTTTGCTGTCCTTGTTGTTAGGTACTTCTTTCTTCAACTGTCAGTTGTGCCTTAAGTCAGTGAGTTTGCTTTCCCTAATTGTAATGGTGGCATACTGTAAATTTCTAGTTAACTCTCAATTTCTCTCTTGGGACCATGCTGCAAAGTCTTCCAGTACAGTTTCTTGGTAAGCTTCTGGAATGCCTTTCTGGAGTTAGTTGCATTGTTATTTTAACATTAAGAGAGTCAGGGTAAATCATGCATGGCAGCACTATCCAAAAGAAACTGCAAGGTACACAGGTGACTTTTAATACTGGATTAATCCCATTTGAAAACCAGGAGCAGATACAGTTAATAATCACTCCTAATGTACACCACATATTGCTGTTTTAACATGTGGGTAGACAAAAACTATTCAGCTAACCATTCTTTCTGTGCATTACATTTTTAAAACCTAGCACACATTTTACACTTGCAGCACATCACCCAACACACACAATCAGCCAGGGAAAATGGGGCAGCGCAATGCAGTAGCTTCAGTCCTTTGTGTAGCTGTCTTGAACTCCTTCCTTTTGTAGCATGAATTCTCCTTTTTTCTCCATGTTTGTCTTTGGGTAGATGTGCTGGGAGACCAGACTGTGTAAATTGCATGATGGCTTCTGCTCTTAGATCCAGTGTGGATATATGTAATATTTCAGAAACCTATGGATCCATTCCATTAATAAAGACAGCAAAGGTGCATGCTGGCTCACAGCAGAATGCTGTGACATGAAGGGCTGTGGTTGGAAAAAATTATCACTCTGTAACTACCATGCTAAAGACTGACTCAGGCAAGAATCATCCATGGAGGCTAAATATAGAGGCAGAATTTTGATGAGTGGGATACTTGCATGCATTGAAAGTATCTTCCTACAGATTGTAACAATGCCCAGGTAAGCAAATGAAGCATTCCAATAGGAGGGATGTGAAAGCTGCAGTCCCAAATCGCATCCAGCGGCGTACACACAGACAAACCATTGGCTCATCCGATAGTATTAGGAGTAGGCACATCAGGGTTAGCAGTGTGCACATAGTTGTGTAGTTTTTATTTTCTCCCTTTTCTATAAGTTTGAACTTTTTTTTTTTTTTTTTTTTGGTCCTTTTTGAGACAGGGTCTCACTATGCAGTTCAGGCTGGTCTTAAACTCACTTTGTAGCCCAGGCTGGTCTCGAACTTGCAACAATCCTCCTGCCTCAGCCTCCCGAGTACTGAGAGTACAGGTGTGCACCACCACACCCGTTAAGTTTGAATCTTTTTTAAACAAGAAGTTTTATAAGCAGTATAAACAAAGCTAGGTAGAGTAGTATACACCAGTACTCTGGGAGGCTGAGGCAGGAGGAGTACAAGTTTGCAGCAACTTAGCAACTTGGTGAGACCTTGTCTCAAAATAAAAAAGGGCTAATAGCTCAGTGTAAAGGTTGTCGGGTTCAATCTCCAGTACTGCAAAAATAAAAAATAAAGTATAAACAAAGAAGGCAGACATCTACCATTGTGCTAAATGAGACAAGAAAAGAGAAACAAGAAGTAGGGTGTTGGGCTTCATAGTAACAAAGGATTTACTTATGGCCCCAAGTGTCAGGTGCATCACAACAAAATCAGTGGCAGTGGGAGAAGGTAGGCTGACATGCCACAGTGGGAATTTGAGTTGAGAGAGTACATTTAGGATTTTTCTTACCAGAGCCCCTCTAAGCTTAGGTTCAGGGTTGAATAGGCTACCGGGGAACTTAATGCAGAAACTGTGGTGGCAACAGGCACCTAGGTAGACCAAACCCAGCCCTGTATAAGCCATGGGAAACTTTCTCTCCAAGGACAGAGTGCAGATAAATGAATGGGGAACTTTCCATATGCTTCCAGGCCCTGCGGACAGCAGAACTACAAAATATATGGAAAATATTCCTGAGTCGCTGCAGGGAGCAAGCACCCCTCCCACTCACACACAACACAACAGCCACAAAAGAGACTGTAATGTGAGTGAAGAAATAAATACTTTATTATGTTAAGCCTGTGTGACTTGGGGGTTGTTACACAGAATGCCTGCTTAGACAGTGACAGAAAGAGGCACACTTCTGTATCTACAGGGAGCAACTAAATTAATGCTCAGACAACAGAAACAATGCTGTAAGCTGAGATTCAATGTAAAATCAAAAGATCACCTTATGGAACCCAAGGAGTTTAGTTCCCGTTGCTCAGGCAGACAGATGGCTTCATCAACTTTTATTGGTATTTTCAACCCATTTTGATCTCAGCCCCCTAATAAGAAATACACTTTACATGGCAGCCAGTTTTTATATTTAGATACACAGCTGAAAAGTTTCACAAAACAATATTTGCCTTCACTACACAATGAATTCTGACCTATTCTACTCTACTTTGTTGCTTTGTAATGCCAGCGGCCATCCACTAGTTAGATCTCACAATTCACTAATGGGCTGGAGCCTACAGTTTGAGAACTGTCACTAGGCGCCAAGCATTTTGGGGATCTTTGCCAGCCATTCCACACAGAAAGACACAAGAGTTAATCGAAACAGTTTCTGTCTTTGAGGATTCAGAAATGAACTTGACATGTATTTACAAAAAGGCCAAAACATCTGTCAAGAATTCTGCTTGAACAAACTTGGAGAGCTCCAAGACCAGCAGTCAAAGCAAAGATGACTACGAAAGCGCCAACAAACACACACTGTAAGGCAACTGTACACTCTGCACAACGTCAAATGACCCCGCCTATGGGGTGGTGCTGAAGTGGCTGTGGAAGAAAACAGCTTACACTCTGTGAGCATCTGCCCGGGGTATTTCTGGAGGCGAAAGCACTTCTAAGTGCTCGAGGCAACCTTAGAAGACTGACATCAAGACATCACTTCTAGATTCCCAGCCAGGCTAAACTGACATCTCACGGGATGCCCACAGCACCTTCCACACACACGGAGCTGCAGTCCTGCCCACATGGGCTCTAGGCCTCTTCTTGAGGGCCCCACTGCTCAGCAGCCAGGGCATAGGTTCCTAGCAGTCTGGGTAGGCACAGTGCTTCTTGCTGCTGTGGCTGCTGTAGTGTTCATCAAGGTGGGCGATCCATGCAAAGGCTTCCCCACACTCACTGCAGGAATACAGCTGCCCGCGGCTGGCTCCTGCCTCAGCCACTACAGGGCTGGCAGCTGAGGAAGGGCCTGGGGCCTGCTCAACTGGGGACCCTAAGCCATCTGTGGCCAGCTCCTTCCCTGCATCACTGGAGGCACACTTGGGTCCCTCCTTGTCCTCATCCTCATCTTTTGGATGGGGCCTCTTTGTTCCAGTGCCTGGCTGCAGGCCGGCCAGCCCCACTGCATCCTTGTCCTGTTCTTCCAGTGGTGGCATGGCTCCTGGCCTGGATGTCTCCTCTCCCTCATCATCTGGAATCTTCTTGGGCTGCCCTTCCTCCTCCTGGGCCACATCCCCTGAAGGGCTCATGGGAGCATCCTCAGCAAGCCTGTCTATCAGCGGCTCATTCCCAGAGATGTCCTTACACATATCCCCTTCACCGTCACCTGCAATGGGTCAGAATGTGAGCAGCCCTGGCTCTCAGGGCCCAAGAGATGGAAGCTGCTTCCAGCACAGAACTGGGAAGGACAGTGAGGCCAAAACCTGAGCAAAAGGAGGACGAACTCAGACGAGAGCAGCCCTCTTCCAGCTCCAGCAAGACTATACTACAACCCAGCTGGCTTGGACAGTGGCCCTCTGCCCGCCGGTCAGCACGCCTTACGTATCACGTAGTCTTACTCCCAGCCTGCCATGCAGCCATAGTTTCCATGTAGCCATCTGTACAAGTGTAAGGAATAGGCGGCCTTGTGCTTCCTGCCAGTGAGATGGGACCTGAGCAGCCTTCCTGAACCAGGAAGTGACGTGGCAATGGCCATGAGACAGGGAACCCACCTCTGTCAGCAGGAAGGACCAAGTGAGCCCTCAGGATGATCCAACCAGTTGCACCCATTCCTCCCCCCACCATGTGACCTGCTGGAAGATGGGACATTAGCATGCACAAAGGTGCAGAAAGGCTGGTGCATGCCTCCCTATGGAAGCTCAGCCACCATCCCCTATCCCTAAGGAAGCCAGGGCGGCCCAACAGACACCTCTGTCTGAGCTGCCTGTAAAGAGCTGTAGGAAAGAGCAGTGCGTGACCAAAGCCATCTGGTCCTTCCAGCTGTGGTCAGACCCTGGAAGACTACGGTGCCCTCAAGGCCAGCGTAAAGCAGAGGGCCTCGCAGCCACACAGATGAGCCCAGTCAACCCACAGATACTTGCCCTGCTGTTCCACTGGGGGGCCCAGCTTCAAGGTGGCTGGTTATGCAACAAGAGATCATGAAATAACAATACTGTCACCACCTGCTCTAATGCAGAGGGTGAGATGACAGTGAGAGGCCCCTGGAGGCCCAGCCCTCACCTGGCCAGCCACCCTTTCCTGCCAGTCACCCACCCTGACCTCACCTGGGCCACTGTCTTCTGGCAGGTCCAGGTCCTCCAATCCAGCCTCCTCAGTCTCCAGCCTGACGATAGCATCAGGCTGAGAAAGCTGATATCCTGAGTGGGTGAAGAGCACCATGAAAGCTGGAGAAAGCAGCTGATAGCTCCTGTCTCCTCTACACCACGCCCTGCCACAGCTGCTCTCCGTAAGAGCCCCAGAACCTGGAGGTCCTGAGATCAAAGCAGCAGCACAGACCAAGCAGGGGTTCTGCTGGGGTGAAGCTGGAAGGCTGATGAGGCATGCAGAGGTGGGGAGCCAGGGGCAACAAGTCACAGACCAGAATGCAAAACTGAGTGGAGCTAAACTAAGTGCTAGATTAGTGAGTGTGGGGCATTGGGCTCCTTTCCCAGTGCCAGCAAAACCATATGATGACAACTATAAAGGGCTCAGTCTGGCAGCCTCCCCAACAAGGAGGGTAACAACTTCTACCAGCTTCATCATCTGGCAGGAAGAAAGGCCAACTCTGCAACAGGGAAGCTAACAGGCAGGGGCCATGTGGCCCAGGTGTAGCTCAAAGGCCACACTATAAGGGTGGGCAGAGACCTTGGCAAAGGATCCAGCACATTCAAGTTCAAATACAAAGGAGACACCCTTAATGTCCACCCAGCCCCTGGGACTAGGGGTACAGCACAGCCAGGAGGGGCCTCACCCCAGAGAAGCAGCTTCCTGTAGCTCTGCAGGTTCTCCTCTGCAGGATCCAGGTGGTCCCACTCCCCTGAAGGCAGAGGCTCCTCTGAGAACGACTCTGGCTTCTGGAACAGCAAGGCAGCCAGAGCTAAGCACTATACCCTTTCGGAAGGATACACCGTCCCTCAACCACCCAGATCTCTGACTCCAGTGGCATAAGCCACCACCCTCCTACAGGTCTACCCTCAGAATTCCCAAGCAGAACCCCAGGAAGGGACAATATCAGGGCCCAGGGCCCACAGCGGCCCCCACCCACCTCCAGCTCAGCTTTGGCAGGGCCAGCCTCCCTGGACTTTTCTCCCCCAACGCTCCCCTGTTCCAGAAGCATGGACTCCAGGGCAGGCCAGGCTGGGAGGAGGGAAGGTAGCGCTGAGGAAACAAGTTCTTTGTGACTCAGAATTTCAAAATAGGAGAAACACCCCACTCCCTCCCCCGCACAGGCCTAGGGTGGCCATATCACGGCAGGTCTGAGACACTGTGCCTGTCTGCAATTTTCTGCCACAAAAAAAAAAAAGGAAGTTCAGGCTCCAGAGAGGCCCCAGCAATGCCAATTCCAGCCAGAAAAGAGGGACACTTCTTTTACCCACTGGGTTGCTGAAGTGCTGGCATAGATGTGGGCTGGTGGGAAACCTCCTTTGCCAGCACTATAGACATAAAACTTTGGAAACCACATGAATATCTACTATACGTAAATGTTAGTGGCTTGAGGGACCCACCCTCAACACAGAAGAACATCACATGTAGCACACAGCCAGGGCATGGTGAGGCCTGCTCTGATGGAAGGTCAGGCTCAGGTAACCACACATCAGCTGCCACTCAGAAACTGCCCCTACACCCACACAAGGTGCAGACTCAACTTTCTTTCCAGAGTGCACAAGGAATGGGAGACTACTTTCCTCTTTGTATGTCATGCTTTCCCACCATCTATAGAAAGCATGCATGACCAAGCCCCCTTCTAAGAGGAACTTCATTAGACATCAGCACATCTGAGACTCACGAGAACCTGCAGGGATAGGCCACCTCTAGCATGCACTCCTGCCCCCACCCCCCTCCAAAGACACCACCCGCAGTGCACTGCGGCGCAGCTCAAGTGTTGGTGCCCCGGAAGCGCCCAGGCCACCTGGCAACAGCAGTGGATCCGAGTGCTGCTCATACATTCCCTCGCTGAACTCAGACGATGACCCCCTCGGGGAGCACAGCAGCATCCCTGTTCACAACCAAAGGAACAATGACACAGAGAGGCAGGTGGCCCCTGGATTCCCAAGCCCCTTTATCACCCATCCCTCAGACCTCCCCCTTACCCACAAAGGAAACCTCCAGCCAGCAATGCACCCACAATGTTTACCCAGTTTTTAAGAGACTGGTCCCTGCCTTTGAGTGCCATTTTCCTTCCAAACATCTGGAAAACAGATGCAAGGGCAAGAGACCAAGCAGCTGTTCTGGCCCACAAAGTAATCCTAAGGGAGAGGCTACTGGGCAGCTTGCTTAGAGCCTGAGATGCTCCCCTCTGCACTTCTTACACATGGGAAAACTAAACTCTCGTAACACCCAGTGCTGTGGATTCCAATCCTTTCAGGCCCTCCTCCCTGTTTCCTCTTGGGCAGGCCTTCTGGGACAGCAGCTTCACCTGGCTCATCCAGGACATCAGAAAGGCCCTCTACCAGGGAAGCTGCCTTCTTGCAGTTTTCAGGATATTGGGCCACCACCCAGGGGCGGACCCTGTCAGGCAAGATGCCCAGGAACTGCTCCAGCACCAGCATCTCCAGGATCTCTTCCTTCGAGCAAGACTCAGGCCGCAGCCACTGTCGGCACAGCTCATGGAGCCGGGCCAAGGTCTGGTGTGGCCCTGCTGCTTCCTGGTAGGCAAATTCCCGGAAGCGCAGGCGGGAGAATTCAAGGTCCACAGGGGTCCTCTCATAGCCAGTCTCTGCCTCAGCTTCAGCATCAACCTCAGCCAAATCTGGATCATCTTCAGCATCAATTTCAGCAGCATCATCAACCTCAGTCACATTAGCACAGACCTCATATGTGACCTCAGCATCATCATCAGCCTCAGCTGCATCAGCATCAACCTCAACCTCAGCAGCATCAGCATGGACCTCAGCATCAATCTCAACCTCAGTAGCACTGGCATGGACCTCAGCCACATCGGCATCAACCTCACCCACACTGGCACTGACTTCAGCATCGACCTCAACCTCAGAGGCATCAGCATGGGCTTCAGCCTCACTGGCATGGACCTCGGCGGCATCAGCATGGACCTCAGCAGCATCAGTGTGGACCTCAGCGGCATCGGCATGGACCTTGGCGGCATCGGCGTGGACCTCAGTGGCATCAGCATGGACACTGGCCTGGACCTTGACCTCATCAGCATCAACCTTGGCCACATCCTCATGAACCTCAGCAACAGCCTCAGCATGGTCCTCAGCCTTGGCCTTGGCCTCAAGCTCTGTGTCAGCTTCAGCCTTGGCCTCAGCCTGAGCCTCAGGTTCCCCCTGCTGGGCTGCATCCTCTGAGCCGAGTGCAGGTGGTTCAGGGGGTGTTGGGGAGCTCCTGGGAGAGGCCACAGCCTTCTCAAGAGGTAGCATCTTGCCAGGCCGGCACCAGAAATGTGACCGTGTAGACAAGGGCACAGCAGAGATGCCCAGGATGACAGGTGTCCAGGGGAGGTCAACCAGTGACAGGATCCAAGGACCTGCAGGGGAGAGCACCAAGATTGATGCCACACAGTGAGCACACAGGACATCACGAGGAGCCTTTTCCTTTTTTTCTCTCTTTTTCTTTTGTGCCAAGGACTCTAACTCAGGACCTTGTACTTGCCAGGCAGGCGCTGTGCCACTGAGCTATATCCCCAGCTCACGAGGGGCCTTTTCACTCGGCCATGGGCTGCCAGACCCAGCAGAACTCTAGCTTTGTTCTTGTACAGGTAAAAATTAACATAAGCATAAAGAGCAACTCATTTAATAAGAGTAGTATTACCACAATTTTCTTTAAAATGTCAGGATATGAAAAAGAAAAATAATAGGACAACCTCATTACAAACCAAATGAAAAAGCCTTTAAAAAGATCAGTAAACTTATCCCAAACATGCATGCAACATACATGATATAGGTCACATCATATCAGACTTGGGTTTGTCCCAGAAACAGAAGGTCTGTTTCATATTTTAAAACATGTCTGGGCCTGGGGATTTAGCTCAGCGGCACAGTGCCTGCCTGGCAAGCGCAAGGTCGTGAGTTCAATTCCTGGTACTGGAAAAAAAAAAACCAAAAAAATAAAAAAATAAAAAATAAATAAAATATGTCCTATGGAGACTTCAGTTCTCAGTGACATGGAAGGACCAGGTATCAGTTTGTCCCTCTGTTTAAACCACTGAAGACCTGAATTAAAGTCTGTGTTTAGGCAAAGGAGTGGGAGTTGGACAGCTCCTCTGGAGCCGGATGCACAACCAACCCCTACTTCTGGAAATGGCAGAGGCCTACAGACCTGGGCTGATCCATGCACAGAATCAGAGGGGTGGGATCAGGAGTTTCCAGGGTGGGGATGACAGGATATGGACGAGACTGAAGAGAGGGGAGAATACAGGTCTCAGCCTGCCCTCCATGAACTCCAACTGAATCCCATAGGCAGGAGAGCACCACCTGTAGGACACCTACCACTCAAGAGAAGCCCAGACTCAGGACAATCAGATGAAGTCTTATAGTAACTGCAACAAACAAACTGAGCTAAATAGACCAGGAAGCCACCACCAGCCTCAGGCCTTTGTGGGCCACTCTGCAACTGGCACCTTCAGGAACTTGCAGGGGTGGCAAGGGGGTAATTTCCCCTATACTGTGGGAGCAAGAACAAAGCCACACTTTAATCCAAGCTAAGCACTGCCTTTTATGGAACCACAGAAACAAAACTTTCTTCCAGACACGTATTTTTGTGGAATCCAAGAAAATCTCTGCATGACCACAGCTGCCATGTCTTGTGAGCAACCCCACTTTTACACAGAAAACTGCCGAAGAGAACTGATAAGGGAGCAAGCATTGCTGACCACTTCCAAGTACAGTCAGGGTCTCTGCTGGCACTTCTCCACCAATATCTGGGGTGCCAGAACCTCGGGACCGAGGTGAAATGAAATGTCTAGAACAGGCAAATCCAGAGAGAAGAAAGTGATCTGTACCGCTGGCAACTATGGAGATGGGGACAAACCACTAATGGGTATAGGATTTCTTTTTGGCATGATGGAAATGTTCTAAAATTAACTACAGTAATGGTCACATAATGAACCTATATAAAATCAATGAACATATAAAAAAATCAATGAACTGTCCACTTTAAAGAGGAGAACTTAATGGCATATAAATTGTATGTCAGTAAAGCTGGTTTGTTGGCAGAGACCCAACCTTCAACTTTTTCCCACTCCTTCTATGGCTAGTAAAGCAGAGGTTAGGGGTAAACATAGAAATCTAAATGCTTGGAAACAACCCCCACAAAATTCCATTTCCCTCAAGAAAAGAAGACCCATACCACCAACACCACAATCATCACCATCATCAATCACTACATTATCACCATCACCACCAGTGAGCACCAGCACTGCCATCATCAGCACAACTCACCATAGCCATTATCATACCTATCACCACCACCACCACCATCAGCCCCACATTAATACCACCACCACCAGCATTATCACTATCACCATCACCATAACTATCATTACCATTACCACCACCATAACCTCATCCCCATTAATACCACTACCAGCATAATCACTATCAGCATCACCATAACTATCATAACCATTATCACCATCACCACTATCACTGTCATCTCCATTAACACAACCACCAGTACTACCATCACTAGCATCACCATCACCATAGCAACTATCATAACCATTATCACACTGTTATCACTACCACCATCACTGTCATCACCACCATTAACAATAACACCGCCAGCAGCAGCACTACCTGACCACCATCTTCACCATAACCATTATCAACATCACTGTCATCACTATTAACAGTACCACTACCACCACCATTATTCTCCAGCAGCAGCAGCAGCACCATCACTATCATCACCAATACCCCTCCCTTCTGGCCACAACTCCCTCCTCCCATTTGTCCCATCCCATTTCCTTCACTTACCCTCCCCTGGCCCTGCCCTAGCCCACTCTCCAATCTTTCATCTTCTCCAGTGCTAGGCTCTTAAGTAGTCCCTCCATTCCCTGCATACTCTCTCCTACACCCTCTCCCTTTTATCTGCTTGCTAACTGCCTTCCCTGCTGGAATGTGAGCCCGAGAGAGCCAGGATTTCCTCTAAGCAGGTCTTGACCTGGGCATTGCTCAGTGCGTGACTGCATAAATTCTGCTTTTTGACAGTGCATCTCTGAGGGCGTGTCTGTGCCTAATGGCCTACGGAACCTCACATCCATCTACCTGGAGTCATGATCTATTCAGAGGCTAAACGAAAGAACACCTGGGCCACAAAGTGCAACCTCACCCCTACTACCCATATGGCAGCACCTGCCAGGAGCCCCTTCCTTACACCCCGTGCCCCCACCCAGACATAGAGGACCTGACCAGCATCTCCCACTTCATAGCTTCACATAGTACTTCACATAAGTACATTTGCATGATTTTTTCATCTCTATGGGGGGCCTAGACCGCCTCAGTTGTTTTCTTTATAGCTTTGTCAGGTAATTACTGAGTTTTCCGGCTCCATCATGCCACTATCCCTGTCTGTGGCTTTTCAATTGCTGTGATCTTCTGGCTATATATGGCATTCCATGTTTCATATCAAACTCAGCCATTGGTAAAATCAATTTCTAAATTCAGAAACCTGGTTTAAAAAGTGTCCTTCACTACCTCTTTCATTCATTCTCCTGGAGTCAGAAACACCAAATGTAAAGGGTCAGGTAGAAAAGATTTGAAGCCTCAGAGGCCAACACTCCTGGTGGCAGCTACTCGACTCTGCCTTATTGTCTGACACCAGAGCCCTTTGCACACGCACGGCCTTGCACATTCCCATACATTTCAGAAACAGGCTATACTAGGTGGTCTGCCAATCTCTGTACCAAACTTTTAACTTTTAAAGTCATGTTTTGTTTTAGTATTAGTGATTGAACCCAGGGTCTTCACACAGATACATCACCAGCCCTTTTTTGTTAGAGAGAAGTGCTCGATAAGTAGCTAAGTTGCCCAAGCTGGGCTCGGACTTGTTATCCTCTTGCCTCAGCCTTTCAGTACTGGGATGACAGCTTGCTCTGTCTGCTTCAGCTGGCAAATCTCTTGGTGGAGTGGCAATGCCAGCTCCAGCTAGTAATCAGGAAAAGGACATATAGAGCTCTTCATGGCTGTTTTGGGTAACTCCTCTTCTTAGCTGTCACAGGCATGTGTGCCCCACAGAGCTGTCCATATGGGTGACTGTGACCTTGCCCATCAGGCCCTGCCCAGGCTCATGACTCCTCTCCTCAGAACTTCAACTACCCTGGGGTAGGGGCCTGGCCTGAGGACAGGAACAGCCGCGGGAGCAGGTGAGGCAGTAAGAGGCACAGAGCAGAGAATGCTGGGGCCTGGACTCCCCGACTCTGAGCATGGAGGTGGCATGGACAAAGGAGAATAGGAAGCCCTCTCCCAGGTCACAGCATAAGAGGGACACCTCAGGCCTGGGGACTGGCAGGGCTGTCTGCAGTGCCGGGGGCTGTAAACCTCCTGAGGAAGCCACCTCGGCAGCCCACCCCACGACACCCATGGCAGCTGAGGTCCCTGTGATGTCCCCCTGCGGGAAGCTGCTCACACTGGAAAGCAGCCTGTCCCCACCATGCACAAGGTCCCTCTGGCTCCCTTTCTACATGACCTGCTGTTGGGACCAGAAGACCTCTTCTGAGCCCACCTCAGTCACTCAGCCACAAGGCTGTCCCAGTCAGACCAAAGCACCACTGGAACAAGCCAGCTTGAACAAGCCACACTCCAGCAGCCAGGTTCCTCCCCGCATGGGGCACAGGGAATCAGGATCAGTCCTGGATTTGCCCTGGATTTTCTGGGGGCTCAGCTCCCTGGCCCCAGCAGATGGAGTAGTATGGACGTGTCTTGAGCTGGTCTCATGAGATGCAGTGTGGGGGGTGGGTTGCTGAGCCCTCTGGAACCCTCGGAGAAGTCCCCCACAAGAGCACATGGGAGGAGTCGGGGCCTCCTCAAGAGTCCACCACCTCTGGGACCCTCCTCGTAGACTCTCAGCTGTTCTATCCAGCAAACCACCACAGCTCCTCCTCAGGCTCCTGTAAACAAACTCCTACCATACAACAAGAGAATCACTGGCATCTCCCAGGTCACAGGCCTGAGGATCACCTGTGGACACTACACACTCTAGGCCAGTGAGATATCCCAGCACCTCCCCTGGACTCACCCAGAGATTACTATGCATTCTTAAGGGAAAAATGACCTGGGCCTGATCCTACACATGTAGGAGGCTGAGGCAGGAGGATCACAAATTTAAGCCCAACCTGGGCATCCTCGTTACTCAGTAAGATTCTGTCTCAAAATAAAAAATGAAAAATCTCTAGAGATATAGCACAGTGTAAAGGCCCTGAGTTCAATCCCCACCACTACAAACAAAAACAAGCAGACTACAAACAAAAAGAAAAACAAGCAGAGACAGAAGCGGCATTCAGAAAACTAAAGAAGGAGGATCTCGATTTTCAGGCCAACGTGGGCCACACATAATGAGACTTTTTCTCAAAAAACAAAAACAACAAAAAATTCCAAAAAATAAATAAAGTGGACCTTTAGAAGAAGGAAAAAAGAGTAAGGAATCATCATTAATATCTCAGGTGCTGCTGGGCATTTTGGCACACACCTATAATCCCAGCACTCAGGAGGCTGAGGCAGGAGGACTGCTTCGAGTTCAAGGTCTGCCTAGACTCCACTGTGAGTTCAAGGCCAGCCTGAACCAAATAGTGAGACCCTGTCTCAATAAATAAATACACAAATAAATAATAAAATAAAATCTCAGCTGCCATCTGAGGTCCCTGCCAAGAACATACACTCCATCCTGTCACGAGGTCACACAGGACCAGATGAATGCTCTGCACAACCGGCCTAGGCTCTCCAGTCTCAAGGTCAGCTTTGGCAAGGAAGCTACAAACCCAAAAACCAGGAGAAGAAAGAACTTGGTGCAACGCAGACAGAAGAGCAGAGATCACAGATACTGTCAGGATGGGGAGGATGAAGGCGGAGCCCAGAATGCTAAGATGCCCACCCCTGCCTCAAGAAGCCCACTGAGGTACAGGGTGAATACAAAATGGTGTAAGTGAAGGGGAGGGGATGAAGTCAGGAAAAGGGCAAAATACTAATGAGTAAATGGGTATGCAGGAGTTCCACAACCTTTTAGCGAGGAAGTTTTTAAATTTTACAAGGAAAAGCCAATCCTCAGTGGTCTTCAGCTCCTCTGCTTTCCCTCCCCCGCAGCACCAGGGAGACAGACACATCCATCCCACCTTAACCCCCGGGTTAGCACCAAGCCGAGGATTCCCACTTCTGCCCTCCTCCTACCAAAAGGGCTCCTGGTGGAGGTGTAACCCTCACTCTAGCCGAATCACCTGCAGGAGGCTGGGAAGCAGAACACCACCCACCCCCACCAGAGGACTCCCACATCTCCCCTGCCACTGCTCCCACCCAGGGGCACCCTCAGTACCTCAGGAAGAGTCCCCCTGCCTCCCCAGCCTAACTCAGCGGGGACCATTACCTCCCGAAATCCCCTCACTTCAACTCCAATCCTCTCCACTCTACCCCAACCCAGCACCCGGGGAGAGGTGCCCCTTCAGCCACACCAACACTGCACAGACCGTGCGCAGAGTCCCTGGCACACCTCCCTCCATTCCCACCCGAGGGTCCCCCAGACCTCCCACCGCACACTGGGGGGAGGGGCACCTGGGGCTACAATCCCACCCAAGGGAAAGCAGACCTCCCTCCTAAAACCACACTGGGGACGAGGCGCCAGGACCCCGGGCCACACTCGCGCCAAAGGGTCTCCAGAACTCCTCCCCTGCGCCCACACTGGGGCTGGGGGTAACCTGGGCCACAATCCCACCCGAGGGTCCCCAGCCGTCCCCTCCCGTCCCCCCCTGAGGGGGAGCAGCAGCCAGCCACACTCCCCCGCAGGGTCGCCAGACCCCCTCCCCCGGCTCCACACATGGGGCGCGCCACCCCGGGCCACACTCCCGCCCGAGGCCCCCAGACCCCCCTCCTGTGCCCGCACTCGGGGGCCGCACACGGCCACACTCCCACCCGAGGCGCCCTCACCCCCTCCGGGCCCAGGCCGCGCCTGGAACCCCCGGCCCCGCGCAGCGACCCGGCCAGGCGCTCACAGTCCACTCAGCAGTGCGCCCGAGGCCGGACCCACCTGCTGCGCAGCGGGGCCTGGAAGGTTCCAGCCGCCCCCAGCCCAAGAGGCGCGATGGCGGCCGGCTGAAGTGCGCCTGCGCGCCGGCCAGCCCCGCGGACTGCGACTCCCAGGATACCGCGGGGCCGCCGCGCGGCCGGGACAGGACGAGGGCTCGCTGACGGGACGGCCAGCCAATCAGAGGCAGGGTCCTCTTTCTGTCCCGCCCCACTGGAGCCGACGTGGATTCCTATGCCATAGCAACGGTGTAAACAAGCGGACCAGAAAAAGCGGCCCGGATTCCCGACGCCTGAGAGGCGGAGACAAAGGCACAGAGAGACTGGAAAACCCTGGACAACGTGGAGGTTGGGAGTAAAAGCAACGGGAAAACCCCGGCCGCGCGAGCCAAGAAAGAGAGACGGGCAGGCAGACAAACAGACAGAGACGGCCAAGAGTCCTGCCGCAGTCCAGAGATGCGCGGGAACGGAGATACAGGGGACCGGACGGGGAGGGAGTCCCGGGCAGTGCGCCGCACCAGGATGGAGAACCTAGACCCGGGGGCAGCGAGACCCAGCCGGAGACTGGGAGGCTGTCCCGGGGATGCAGAGACGGGGGCCCTGCCTGGCCGCCGCCATGGGAGTCTGCAGACCTCGAAGCCTGCGCGGCACGGCTCTGAGCAGCTGCACGGAGGGGCACGGGGAGAGGTCGCTGGGGCGAGGGAAGCCGCGTGCTGCCAGCTCCCCACAGCAGAGCTTCTGAGAGGTCGTTTTGGTCGTTTGGAATGGTTTTCAGCACATACGTGAACAGCTCCTTCTATCGTATAGACATTTTTATTTGCATACACCAACACTCAATTTTTATTCAGTTCTGACGATTTTAATTGATATACCACAAACACAATTCGGACAAATAATTCCACCGCCCCCTTTGCATTCACGCCCTCTCCCACCCGCAACCCTGGGCACCGGTTTCCCCCCCATAGAATGTTATATAAGTACATAGCATGTAGCCTGTTGAAATTGGCTTACTTTACTGCACATAATTTTGAAATCCACTAGTGTGGAACAAATTTGTTCCTTATTGCTAAGTAGTATTTTGACGGTATACAATAAACATTCACCCACTGAAAGACACTGAGTTTCTTCCCAATATTTTGGTATTGCAAATAAACATGCTATGAACGTTCATGTACAGATTTTTTTAGTGCATCTAAGCACTCACTTTTTAGGGGATGAATGTTCCAGACTGCAATTGCTAGCTCATGTGGCACATGCGTAGTGTAGAAATTTGCCCTGTTCTTTTCCAGAGTAGCAGTATCATTATTTTACATTTCCACTAACAAGTATGAATCAGCTTCTCCACATTCGCACCAGCACTGGGTGTTTTTGTCGTTGGTAGTGGTGGTGAGGGTTTTTTTAGCCAGTCTCTACGTTGTGAAATGTCATTGTGGGTTTTGTTGAGGTTTTTTTTTCTCATTGCGGTTTTAATTTCTATTTCCCTAGTGGCTAATAACATCCCCCATATTTCACAGTATTTGCCATCTGTGTATACTCTTCAGTGTAGGTATCTGCTTCTCTTTTGCCCATTTTCTAAATTTTAAAAAATTACAGTTTTGAAAAGATTTTAGATATAAGCTTTGTCAGAAATGAACCTGGGAAATATTTTCTCCCAGTTGGTTGTTGTCCTTTTATGTTCATAACAGGATCTTTGGCAGAACAAAGGAACAAGTCCTGAGGGTTCCCTCCTATATTTTTCATAAAAGTTTTATAGTTTTATCTCTTACATTTAAGTCTATCGTCAGTTTTAATTTTTGTATAAAGTGTAAGGTTTGGGCTGAGGTCCATTTTGTTCTCTTGTGGATGCCGAGGTGCCTTTTTTTTCTGATGACAGCTGGCTGTCTAAAGGTCCAGCCCAATTCAGACGCTACCTACAAAGAATAAGTCCAGAGTAGACAGTGAAGGGCTCAGACCCACTTCGGACACCAGCCACAGGCTACTCACACTTCTGCAAGGCCAGCTACAAATTCAGGGCCATGTCCCAAATCTCAGGCTGGGTAATTTCCTAGCACAATTCACAGAGAACAGAAAAGCACTTATGTTTGTCTATTAATGACAAAGGTACAAGTCAGGAGCAGCCACATGGAGGAGCTACAGAGGGTGGAAAGTACAGACAGGACTTCTCTGCCCCCACCAGGCACACCATCCTTCCGGAGGCTCCATAGGCCTCGAGGGGCAAGAGTTCTCACTTATTTTGTGGTGATCACCCAGCCCACATCCTGGTACTATCTAGAAGCCCTGTCCTGAGTCACACGATTAGCTAAACTCAGGTGTAACTATGAAAGAGCTTCCATATGAACAAAAGACACTCTTATCAGGAAATGTCAAGACTTTTAACTCTGTGCCAGCAAAGAACAAAGACCAACTATGTTTTATTACAGCCCAGATATCTGGCTGCTCTAGCATTATCTATTGAAAAGACTAGCCTACCTTTTATTCCGTCATCAAATGCTCTGCTGGGAGCATCTCTGTGGGTCTATTCCTGTGTTCTTTATTTGTTCCACTACCACACTCTTGATTACCGTAGTTATACATGTTAATATTGGGTAGAGTCATCTCTCCTGCTTTTTTCCTTTTTCAAAGTTATTTTAGCTATTCTAAGTCTTGTGCTCAGTTTCCATACAAACTTCAGAATCAATTTACATATGTGTACAAAAACTGGTTGGAAATTTGAGAGTTACGCACATTTTTGTAACTCTTTCTTGCCTAAGTACACCAACTGGAATTTGCAATGTAATTTCTAATAGCATTGAGGAGAGTAGGCCATCTTGTCTTTTGTCTCCTCATAGGTGGAAATCATGCTTTCACCATTTATTAAGTTAGCTACAGGTTATTTGCACATAATCCTTTTCACATTAAGGAAGTTGCTTTTTAGTGCTAATTTGTTGATATTGAACTTTGTCAAATACTCTCTTTGAATTTTTTTTTCAGCTTAGGACCTCACACTTACCAGACTGCACTGCTCTATAAAGTTCCCAATGCTGCCCCTCTATAACCCTAACCCCTATCCTTATCCCCCATCGCTCGCCTCAGGTCACTACCAAGCTGGTGTCCATGTCTGTAACTGTGATATTTAACAAATGTTACATAGAGTCAAAAAGCATGTACTTTTTGAGACTGGCCTTTTTCCCTCAACATGCCTTCCTTCAGGTCCATCCAAGTTGTAGAGTGTATCAGTAGTTCTTTCCTTTTTGGAACAGTTTGAGAAGGATGATGTTAACTCTAAATATTTGGTGCAGTTCTGCAGTGCAGGTGACTCTGAGAGCTACTGTAAAATACTGCAAGCCCTCCAGGGAACATGCAGACAGCGTGACCTGCTCACATAGATTTAGAGACAAGTAATGCCCTAAATGTCCATGGTTTCTTAGCTGGTTCTATGCTTCTATAACAAAGTACTTGAGACTGGGTAATTTATAGAGTTCTGGGGGCTGAAAATCCAAAACAAGACATTTGATCTTGTGTTCTCACATGTGCAAGAGAAGACACACACAGAAGACACACACTTTAACTTCAGGTAGCAAGACAGCAAGCCATTTCTGCATGCCCTGTTCTTGATGGTATTAATCATCTCTAGCACTGTTATACTGGAGTTTACGTTTCTAAGAAGTGCACTGTGGAGGAGCCATGGCCATATCATACCCATGGTATGGATATACCACAGTTTGTTTAACCATTCATCCTTTGAAAGGCATTAGCATACTTTTCAGTCTAAAACTAGTATGAATAAAGTAACTGGAAACATTCCAGTACAGGCTTCTGTGTAAATGTACTTAAGTCTTAATTTTGCTAGGGTATGTGTCTAGGAGGGCAATTGCTGGGTCATGTGATATGTTGATTTTTAGATTTATTTTTGGCAGTACTGGGAATCCAATCCAGAACCTTGTGCACACTGGGCAAATGCTCCTCCTCTGGACTATCCCCACTCCAGCCCTTTTTTAAAATTTTATTTTAATTTATTTTATTTTAAAACAGTGTATCACTAAATTGATAAGGCTAACCTGGAATTTGTGATCCTCCTGGATCAGCCTTTCTTTCCCAGTAGCTCATATTACAGACATGCGCTACTATGCCTGACATGATTTTTAGTTTTATGAAGAAAGTGCTAAACTCTTTTCCACAATGACTGTCACCATTTTATGTTCTCATCACCAGTGAACCTATGATTAAATTTCTCTGAATCCTTAATAGGATTTGGTGCTATTGCTATGTTTTAGCCATTCTCATAGGTGGAGGGGGTGGATTCAGTACTGGGGAATGAACCCAGAGCCTTGGCACTGAGCCCCTTAAATTTTCAATCCATGAGCCATTGAGAGTGGATTTTGTATACTGTGGAAAGCAGGGTTCAACTTCATTCCTTCTCATATGGATATCCAGTTTTCCCAGCACTACTTATTGAAAAAGGTGCTCTTTGTATTGAACGGCCTTGTCTACAATCATTTGACCATACAAGAGTCTATTTCTAGGCAGTTTATTCTCTTGGTGTATATGCTTGTCTTGATGCTGGTACTATGCTGTTCTGATTGCTATCATTTTTGAAGTTTTGAAATCAAGAAATCTGGAAATGCTGACTTTGTTTTGGCCAATAAGAGGCCCTTCAAATTCCACATGAATTTTAAGATGGACATTTCTTTTTTTCCACTTTGTATTTTTATTTTATGGGAAAAAGTAAAACAAATTTTTGTAACAAAATAACAGGAGAATAACAACAGTTAATATATTGACTGTTGTTATCTTTAAAGTAGTTAATCAGAGTACAAGATATGGGCATAAAAATTTCTCTAAATGATATTAGCACCAACCCTTCTTTTCAATGAACTAAGACAAACTAGTAATATAACTATCTTGTATTTTTTTTCCTTTTCCCTTCCTTCATTTCCCCTTTCCGCAATCCTAGTTCCTTTTCATTTTTGAACAGTTTCTTCCCATTTCATAATATTTATTGTACATTTTAGAACTTATTTACTCTTTCAGTTTCTCACACCAGGGAGACAATACAATGTTTACACATGTGAGTCTGATTTATTTCACTTATGAGTATGGTCTTAAGTTGCATCCATTTACCTATAAAAGCC